TTTACAAAAAATATGGAAAATAAAACGAAACTTTGAGAATCTTTATCATTATTCTAATTTTTATTGCGGGATGGATTGGATTGGATCATATTTCAATATTGGCGCTAAATGATGTTTCGTATCACTAAAGGTGTACTTCTGGTTATATCGTTGTTACATAATAAATGAGCGAAATATTCAAAATTTTTTTAAATACTTGGTAAGTCTACAAATACATATTTGCAATTTAACATTGTAAATATTATGTATAATAAAAAATTGTTATTTGCAATGAATATAATTATAATAAAATGTTTACTTTTTCATTTTTATTTCTTAAAAAATGTTATATCTTATATCTTAAGGTGCCTTTTCACGCTGACGCTCGACGCTCATTTTCAGCGTCAAAACAAGTCACGTGATCAAAATTGACGAATACCAAGCGTCAATTTTGATCACGTGACCTGTTTTGACGCTGAAAATGAGCGTCTAGCGTCAGCGTGAAATCGCACCTTTAGACTGCATTCCGGTAGTTACTATCAGTGTTGAGAAAATATATGCATAGCATTTTTAATTAGCTGTAGCGACCAACTTTTGATTGTGTTAGCCAATCGAAATAAAAATCCTATAAAAATTGGATGTTGCAACCAATTAAAAATGCTCTACCATATTTTACCATCTAATTTGCTGCAGCAGCCAATCTTCTTTCAGTGTAGACTATCACCCCGTAGGTCATATGCTGGATTCACACTGCATCCGATTTTCGTCGTACGACGCTCTGCAACCAATCAGAAAACAGGATTCCGATGGATTTTGCTTCATATCATCGGAATCCTGTTTTCTGATTGATTGCGGAGCGTTGTACGACGCAAATCGGATGCAGTGTGAATCTAGCATTAGCCCTTAGGTTCTAGTTACATCGATTCTGAAATCTGATATGCGTTTTCAAAAATTATAAATTTCCGATGCGTAATGTAATTGTACTTAATAAATTGCATGTGAAAATATAAATTAATTCTACAAAAGAGTAATGAAAAAATAAGAACTATATTTTAATAATTATAAAAAGCTTTTTTAAAAATAATATGAAATGTACGATTAAAACGATACAATATACTATTCATTATAATAAAACACAACTAAATAGAAATTGATTAAAAACGATATCTAAACCGTGCGACAAAAACGATAGAGAAATATGAAAAATTTATCAAATATATCAGGTAAATAACCTGAAATTTACGAGCCAAAACTATTTTATTGTTTGGAAGTATTTCTTCTCCATTACTGTTAATATGCCCGCATATAAGGATTCACCGATGCAGAGAGAATCAAAGGAGAGTGTTTTTTCTTAAACGAAAAAATCGCAAGTCATTTATAAAGGGGGGTCTTTGTCCTTAGTAAATAATGACCCTTTAAACTTCAGGTATCTATACTACTAACCTGAAGAAAAGAAAAAATGCTTTTGTACTTAGATATGTCTTGAACCGTCGTATTTTTTATTTTCTCATGCACGTTATTATTACATGAATATTATTGGAATATATATGTACAGTTTCATTATAAAAAAATTAATAAAATATATGACAACTCTGTGTCACATATTTACTTTATATTTCTTTATAATAATAAAGACATTTTTTTTTAATTTATTTCTTATACACCTCAATTTTCAAAATCAAAATAACTTTAATAAAAAAAAGATGCAACATAATTTTTTTGGTAAGCATTACTTCAATCTTATAATAGATGCAATCGGGGAGATGCTACTAACGCTATTTCTGTCATTCTATGCTTGTTTTGGTTGGAAAAATTGATTTTTCACAAAATAGATTAGTTTGCAAACGATTTTTAGCGTATCGATACGCACATCGTTCATTTCTATAATATTGACATTCGAATATTGGCGGGAATTGCTGAAAAATGACGGACTAATCACAATTAGTTGTTGCTTGTATCGCGACTCTGATTAGAGGGTCTCTAATTCGACTTACGCTCCAATTTTTATTTTCATCAGGGCATTGCATTTTTACACTGTCCATTTACAAAAAATATGGAAAATAAAACGAAACTTTGAGAATTTTTATCATTATTCTAATTTTTATTGCGGGATGGATTGGATTGGATCAATTTCAATATTGGCGCTAAATGATGTTTCGTGTCACTAAAGGTGTACTTCTGGTTATATCGTTGTTACATAATAAATGAGCGAAATATTCAAAATTTTTTTTAATGCTTGGTAAGTCTACAAATACATATTTGCAATTTAACATTGTAAATATTATGTATAATAAAAGATTGTTATTTGCAATGCATATAATTATAAAACATTTACTTTTTCATTTTTATTTCTTAAAAAATATGTTATATCTTATATCTTAGACTGCATTCCGGTAGTTACTATCAGTGTTGAGAAAATTTGTAATTCACATTACATGTATACTATTTTAGGATTTTTAGTAATGAAAATGAATTTTGAAGTACATTTTTAATAATGATATTAAAAATAAATTAATAATAAGGTTCAATATGTATAAAATGAAATAAATATTAAAAGGGCACAGAACCAATATTTTAACAAACAATTATAATTAGAATAATAACATTACATACATACGTTTCGACTCCGATCGGGTCATTTTCAATGCAAAAAACAAAAATTAACTTAGAAATCCGATAATAAAAAAAACATTCAAATTACATAATAAAAATAAAAATAACATAACATAATGTCGCTAACATAATATAAAACATAAAAAATTAATAGTAACATTTCATAATGAGTAAATAATACAATGTATTGAATAGCTGTTGCAAAAATGTAAAAACTCAGAAGAAAAGAGTAAATAATTATAACAATCTCTTAATTTTGTAAGAATATTCATGTCGTTCAAAGTCAAGTATAAGTAGTCCCATTGAAATTAAAATTAACTTGCAATAACGAACATCTCTTGTCAGAAGAAAATAAAAAAGGAGTTATAACCTATCGAAATTATGCTAAATATGCAAACACGAACATCTCTTCTCAGATGAAAATGGAAAACAAATAAATTTATAAAAATCCA